TTTATTTTTATTTATTAATTTTTTTGAGACAGAGTCTCAAGCTATCCCCCTGGGTAGAGTGCCGTGGCATCACAGTTCACATCAACCTACAACTCCTGGGCTCAAGTGAGTCTCCTGCCTCAACCTCCCAAGTAACTGGTACTACAGGCACCCGCCCCAACGCCCGGCTATTTTTTGGTTGCAGCTGTAATTGTTGTTTGGCGGCCCGGGCTGGATTCAAACCCGCCACCTTAGGTGTATATGGCTGGCGCCTTAGCCACTTGAGCCACAGGCCCCGAGCCACAATTTCTTTTTTCTTTACCACAGTGGTTCTCAACCTTCCTAATGCTTAGCGTCCTGTTTAAAATGTGAGAGTGAGCTGTTAATACTAGTATTTGGGTCAGGCATCTCAGGACACTTCAAATAGATGACGTATGTCTTCTGCTGTATAGGTTTTGATTCAAAGAAGATTTCAAATAAGATTCTGCAGAAAGAATAGTCAGTAAATTTTATCAGAACACTTAAGAATCATCCCCCAAATATAAAAAAAAAGCTCATGTTTTTTAACTTCAACATTGTCTTTATATGAACTGCGATAGTTTAATTTGTATATGCTCTAATTTGTCAACTTTATTTTATTTTATTTTTTTGAGACAGTCTCAAGCTGTTGCCCTCGGTAGAGTGCAGTGGCATCATAGCTCACAGCAACCTCAATCTCTTGGGTTTAAGCAATTTTCTTGCCTCAGCCTCCCAAGTAGCTGGGAGTATAGGCACCTGCCACATCAACCATCTATATGTTTTGTTTTGTTTTGTTTTAGAGACACAGTCTCACTTTATTGCCTTCAGTAGAGTGCCATGGCATCACATAACTCACAGCAACCTCCAACTCCTGGGCTTAGGTGATTCTCTTGCCTCAGCCTCCTGAGTAGCTGGGACTACAAGTGCCCACCACAATGCCCAGCTACTTTTTTGTTGCAGTTTTGCCAGGGCCGGGTTTGAACCCGCCACCCTCAGTATATGGGGCCAGCACCCTACTCGCTGAGCCACAGGTGTTGCCCCACCCCCCTATTTTTAGATCATAGTTGCCATTGTTGTTTGGCAGGCCGGGTCTAGATTCAAACCCGCCAACTCTGCTGTATGTGGCTAGCATCCTAGATGCTGAGCTACTGAATTATGGGCACTGAGCCCAATTTCTCAACTTTTTTTTTTTTTGAAACAGAACCTCAGGCTGTTGCCCTGGGTGGAGTGCCGTGGCATCACAGCTCATGATAACCTCCAACTCCTGGGCTTAAGCAATTCTCTTGCTTCAGCCTTCTAAGTAGCTGGGACTAAAGTCACCTGCCACAACGCCCAGCTATTTTTTGGTTGTAGCTATCATTGTTGTTTGGCAGGCCCAGGCTGGATTCGAACCTGCCAGCTCTGGTATATGTGGCTGGAGCCTTAGGTGCTTGAAGTACAGGCGCCAAGTCCTAATTTCTCAACTTTAATATAGTTAAAGTTATCGATGCTGTATATTTCTTACGTATACTATGTCCTTGGTGAGTTACAGTATTCCCAAGCACATTTTAAATTCTCTCGTTACAAAATCATTCTTAAAAACTTTTCTGAGCCAGTTTCTCAGTCTATCACCCTGGGGTTGAGTTCAGAGGCATTGTAGATCTCAGCAATGTCAAACTCTTGGGTACAAGTGATCATCCTCTCTTTTCAGCCTCCCCAGTAGGAGGGATCAGAGGCACCTGCCACAGTGCCGCTAGTGGTTTTTTTTGTTTGTTTTGTTTTGTAGAGAAATAGTTTTGATTTTTCTCACCTGCCTTGGCCTCCTAAAGTGATTAAGATTATAGATAAAGGCCACCATGCCTGTCATAAATAATCCTTATTTTATAATTATCTCTTGCTTAAGTTATGCTTATCAGGACTGTATTATGCGCACACACACTCACACACAGAAACACAGTAGACTTTGGTAAGCTGACCACTCAAGGGATTGTAAAAGTCTTGTCAACACACATAGGTGGTTAGCATAAGGAACTTGGCCTAGTGTATTGATACGTCCATGTAGTGCATTACCACTCTATACATTACGTGAGCTTGGGGAGGTGGTCACTTGGAGTTTCTAGTGTCTTTATATGTGTGTATATATATACAAATAGATATATAAACATATATACACACACACACACAAAGTGCCAAGGTTTTCAGGCCTGTCTCCATTGTCATGAGTGAGCATCTCCTTCAGGTCTCTGGATGGGTAGGACTAGCCCCAGATTAAGGCTGGGAGAAGTTGGAGATGCCCACATAATCACTTCAGAATTCTCAGTGTGGCTTGATGCCCGTAGCTCAGTGGTTATGGTGCTGGCCACACACACCCTGAGGCTGGCAGTTTGGACCCCAGCCCAGGTCACCTAAACAACAACGACAACTGCAATAAAAAAATAGCCAGGTGTTGTGGTGGGCACCTATAGTTCTACCTACTTGGGAGCTGAGGCAAGAGAATCCCTGAAGCCCAAGAGTTGGAGGTTGCTGTGAGGTACAATGCCATAGTACTCTACCGAGGGCAACATAGTAAGGCTCTGTCCGCCTTCAACAAAAAAATTCTCAGTGGGAGAATTTTATTTTAGTGTTCATTCTGAGTATGATATATGATATTTCATTGTGATTTTGCTTTGAATTTCTTTAATAGTTACAAATTTTGATCACTCTAATGCTTATTGGAGATTTATAGATCTTCTTTGAGAAATGTCAGTTCAATGCTTTGTTACTTTTTGTTTATCTCTCTTTTTTTTTTTTTGGAGACAGAACCTCAAGCTATCCCCCTGGGTAGAGTGCCGTGGCTTCACAGCTCACAGCAAACTTCCAATTCCTGGGCTCAAGCGAGTCTCCTGCCTCAGCCTCCCAAGTAGCTGAGACCACAGGCGCCTGCCACAACGCCCGGCTATTTTTTGGTTGCAGCCGTCATTGTTGTTTGGCAGGTCAGGGCTGGATTCAAACCTGCCACCTTGGCTGGCTCCTTAGCCACTTGAGCCACAGGCTCCGAGCCTGTTTATCTATTAAAAAAAAAAAAAGAAAAAAAGAGTCTCACTTTGTCACCTGTGGTAGAGTGCAGTGGCATCACAGATCACAGCAACCTCCAGTTCTTGGGCTTAAGCAATTCTCTCGCCTCAGCCTCCCAAGTAGCTGGGACTACAGATACCTGCCACAACACCTGGCTATTTGTTGTTGTTGTTGTTGCAGTTCGGCCGGGGCCGGGTTCTAACCCAGCACCCTTGGTATTTGGGACCAGCACCCTACTCAATAAGCCACAGGTGCTGCCCATTCATTTCTTTTTTTTTTGAGACAGTGTCTCAATGTTGCTCTTGTTCGAGTGCTGTATCATCATAATTCACAGCAAACTCAAACTCTGGGCTGAAGCGAATATCTTGCCTTAGCCTCCCAAAAGCACCCACCACAATGCCTAGCTATTTTTTAGAGAGGAGGTCTCTTGCTCAGGCTCTTCACAAACTCTCCAGGCCTGAAACAATCCTACAGCCTCATCCTTCAAGAGTGCTAGGAATACAGCCCTGAGACACCGTGCCCAGCCTTCTTTCGCTACTTTTGACTAGAGAATTCTGTCCTGTTTGTTAGGTCTAAGTAATACACTGTGTTTAAGTTTTCTGTTATCTTAGTAATCTTTTTCTTTTCTTTTTTTTTTTTTTTT